GTTGAATTCTAAAAGCTAGAAAAAGTTGAAAAAGAATAGCTATTTTCATTATTGGGCTGGTTTAGGATCTGAGATTAGCTAGAACTGTCTTCCTTTTACTTCTGCTCTATACTTGGGGAAGTATATAGTTGTTGGCTATTTGTGGCTGCACTGCTGGTTACCATTTCTGTTTGCTACTGCTGCTGCTGCTGACTCTCTCCTCTTCTTCTTGTGTTGTCAATACCAATAATTGTTTGGCATTGTTGTTTATCAAGTAGTAATTTCCTGAAGTGTGCTATTGGACATCTGTTACTGTTTCGTTGCTTTTTCTGGGTTTTCCTCCATTGATTTTCGGGACTGCTATTTGCCGGATTTTGTTCCATTGGTTTTAAGTTGCCTGTTGGTTATTGTTGTTGTTGCTGTTGTCTGCTACTGATCTACTAATCCTCACCTTCTTCTTCTGTTCTATTATCAGGTACACTACTTTGAATCACCTCGACGTTTGATTATTAAAGTTGAAATAAAATGGACAGAAGATTTCTGTATTTAATTTTAGAATAATTGTATTTTAGTTAGATATTAGTTATGTGTTTCCAATTTTATGAAGGGTAGAGGCATGTTGTATTAAGACTATTCTTGTAATATCATTGATTAGCAGTTAGATAGGGCATAACGTTAGATTACTGACCTAAGATCCTTAAAATGACGTGAATATATGTCAATACAGTATGCCTGTTTAATTTGAGCAGAATTGTTAGATTGTTGAACTATTGGACGTATTTCCGTAGGAATTGAATAGTTATTTAGTTTCAGTTTGGTTAATTCATATGTTTAAAATAATGTAGCTTCGGAATCACATCCAACTCTAAATTGGTAATTAGTTAATGTGGTGAATCGATTTAATTGGTTGGTAAAATCTAGCTTTGAACTCGCGAATATAGGAATAGAAGTAACTTGAAGTTTGTGATTTTTTGAATCTTGTTAGTAATAAAGATCCGTAAGTATTAGGCAAATATAATTGGTTAGTAATTTCGTATAATCCGTAGGCTTGATATATTTAAAGCGCGATTCAATATAGTAAGGCTAAGAACACTAATCCCATAGGTTATTTAAATTAATGATCAAGCTTAAGCAAACTTTCGTAATCATTAGTAATTAAAGTTGGTTTAGTTTCAAGTATTTGAAAACAATTAGTTCGATCGGCTCATTTCATCTAACAAGGTGGGTTTAAATTAGTTATAGGATGATTAGTTTTTTTTTTGAAAATATATTGTTTGTCAATTCCGTCTTTATTTATAATTTCAATTTCAGTAGTATTGGCTTATAGAATAGGATATGAAATAATCTCCTTTTACGCAAGTTTGATTAAAATTTTCCGGTGCGTTTTGCTTTAATCCGATAAATAAGTGATGGCCTTTTCAAGCATGTAATTAACTAGGATTTTTCTTCTTTTATTTTAGAGACAAACTAAAAATAGAAAATGTAGTCACTTTAGGATTGTCCTTAAAATAAAGGAGGTGTGCCTCGCCACAGTAAATCACAAATTGCGGGGCCCTCAATAAAAGGACTCAATAACCGGATGGACTTTGGAGTTGGCCGTCTAGTGAAATTTCACGGCCTTTTCCCAAAAATAACGATACGATAGTCTCTTTAGGACGCGCCTTAATTAATCTTACCTTCCTAAATTCGGGTGTGCATTTATGCAACCCAAATCCAAATCTCGACATAGTCGAAATGTGTCGACGACCACGTGTACACTAGTTGTGATGTGGTTCGAGATGCATTTCCACAACGTTGCAATTCTCCGTAAAATAATAACAATAATAATGAAATTAATAAAAGCGGTTCAAAGTTAAAATTTGCATATAAGTTCTTAATTGTCAAAAATCAGATAAATAAGCCGAATATAACAGTTGAGCGACCGTGCTAGAACCACGGAACTCGGGAATGCCTAACACCTTCTCCCGGGTTAACAGAATTCCTTATCCGGATTTCTGGTGCGCAGACTGTTAAATAGAGTCATTCTTTTTCTCAATTCGGGATTTAATCGGTGACTTGGGACACCATAAAATTATACCAAATGGCGACTTTGAATAAAATAAACAAATCCCGTTTCGATTGTTCTTTAATTGAAAAAACTTCTTTGTACCCGCAGATGCTGAAAAAAGGAGGTGTGACAATTGTTATCCCATTGCACAAACTTTTTCGGTTGCTATGCACACAAACTATACATAAAGCAACATGTTGGAAAAAAAATGATGACAAAAATACAATTAATGAATATGAACCAAGGAAGCAATGGGAATTGAAGTAAATTGATGGCCAATCTGTGCAGTCAAGTCCAGACCCAAATTTCCGAGGCCAGATACTTCCAAACCTTTTCAAAATTAAGGAGACTAACCGCCAGTATTACTTTAAGAAAGTATACGTTATCAAAATTTCACAAAGAAACTCTTGACCATGTAAACCTCCAAAGTAACGGAGCGTCGCTAGCCAGAACCGCACTTCTGCCTTTTCTCAATTAACCATCACATTTAAATTCCTTAAAATTGTTGGTATTACTGTGTTCAAAATCAGAAAATCAGATAAGCAAACAAACGTTAGTTCAATAAACAAATTGTAAAATAATTCAAGCCCAATAAATTTACAGTGTGTCTTTAAGGAATTTAATCCCCTCACTGTTGCCCAAGTGATGTTTTATACTTCAATACCACACAAGAGGGGGGATGTGATTTGTGTGGTGACCAATTTTTCGCTTAAACTGATTATGGAAGGACCTGATTCTTCTATGTATTCCTTCTGCTACTGTTGCGAAATAATAAATGTAGAAAGTAAAGAACACAAGTATTTTTACGTGGAAAATACCTGGCTCAAAAGGTGAAAAAACGACGACCTACTATTCAGTAGGATTTTCCCCAACACTTCACTAAATCACTGAGCCAAAACAGCATTTACAAAACTCTTTGTAAACCTAAAGATTACCTCTAATCCCGTTGTAGCACACAACCTCTAACTGTTGTGACAACTTCAAGTTAACTCTAACTTGAATACTCAAAGTACTTATTACAATTACTTCTAGATAAAGCTGAAAGGTACAATATGAAAATACCTACTACAATTGAACTAGAAATAAAGAAAGACACATAAAACTCTTTATGGAACTGGTTCATCAATCTGGTTCATGTAGTTTCAGGTTTGCACAGTTGAATCACACACGAACTGCTTGCAAAAAGCCTAGCTATTTTGCTCTCAATTCACGTTTAGCTTCTGTGTTTTTGTGCAACACTTGTAATGTGAGAACATCCTGCAATTTATAGAGTTAGTAGATGAAGAAATAACTAGAGTTCTGATGCAACTCTTCCTTGGTGGAAGAGTTCTAGTTGATTTCAACTTCTAACTCCTTCCCCATCTTGGATAGTGTTCTCTTTGATTAAGGAGTCCTTCTCCTTATCAATTATGCAACCTTTTCGATCAGGAGATATTAAATACACCAAGTTAAGCTTATCTCCTTCACGTGCATCCCACATGATAGAATCTGCCCGTTTTTGTGCACCTGAGGGATGGACCTGGTTCATGCCTGAGCTTCCTTTGTCAATCTTCAAAACTAACCTTCACTTGGTCCAACATCAAGGTATACAGATTAATTCCTCCCAGGATAGAACGGAATAACTATTATGTAATAGCGGCACTTCAAATCACAGAATTTCAGCGAACTCAACAAACGGAGCAAATCACACTTGACACTTATGTTTATTTAGAAAATAATGCAATAATGTAGAAAAGAGGGGAGAAGATTTCAGATTTTCCATCTCTTAAAAATGAGGCCAAACCTCTAAATTTATAGACAAAGGAAGAGTGAGATGGAGAGGTGCAACCCAAAAGGTGCCTCTTCCATTTCCCATTCACACCCTTTAAAGAAAAAAACACAACAAAATTAAGATAGTTACTGTAATTACCAAATGATTCGGAAAAAACAGCTATTTCCAAAGGGGAAAGTCATATATATTGATGAGCAAAGGCGGACTTAGACCGTATTAAACTGAACTTTACTATTTTCGATTCAAACTGTATCTACATGTTAAAAGAAAATGTATACATGTAATAAGATCTCACTAATTTTGAACTTATTAAATTTAAATTTTAAATTTATATGTTTTCCTAGGATGTATATGTCAACAAATGAGGTCGGGAAATATTGGGGCGACTTGTATGGGTGGAAGGATATATGAAATTTGAGAAGTTCAAAGAGGGATAATCTTGCCAAAACTCTTACGTACAATAAGTTCATGGCCATCAAATCTTCTATCTGTCATGCTATTAGCTTAAGTTCAGTTCCTCCTTTGCTTTGCTCCCTTGTCTTTCCAACCAAGTATGTTCACCTTCTTCTGCAATCCATGACATGCGATACCTTTAATTCATTTTGGAGAAAAAAAGGAAATAGAAATTTATTAAAAGAGTTTGTGCAGTGACACAGCACTATAGCATAGATAATTTACTTCATTTGAGTACATGATATGTATAGTAACATGGTAAATAAAATATTACTAACATATCATAATACCTTATGAAAATTGCGCATGTTTTTCATGTTTGATCAATAAACTGTGTTTATATTTTTTTTATATAAGTTAATTTGATTCCGTTTCTCTTGGACGACAAAATGGAACACCAAGGAATACAATTTTATGTGATTTAGCTCGTGATTGATCACGTTAAGGGGACTGCTTTCAACTCTAGATAAGGTACCTCAAACTCACAGTTGTCCCATGCATGTGGCTGCTGATCTCATTTCTGTTTTGACCAGGGACTAGGTAAATCCAAATAAAATCCGTGAAGTTGGCCAAAGACCAAGTTTCAATTCATATTTCACCAACGTTATACATAAAAAAAGTCATAAACGGTATTCTCTCATCTTTATCCAAGAATGAGATTCTAGACCATAAGAGTGAAGTATAAATTTCGAAGATAATTAACTATGATTATTCAAAGTTTGAAACACTGTGGAGATCCTATTAAATATAGTGTGTATCTTGTTTCCCTTAGACGTATATTATATTTTCCGCGCAACTATTAAAGACATCAAAGGTTGACTCTCAATATGAAAGTGAACAACTTGGACTAGCTATTAGATTGGTCAAACATTTTGTAACCTTCCAACAAATTCTATATATATAGATAGATAGAGAAATCGAAAAGTGCCTTTTATACTTGTACAAAAATTTAAGACGAATTACTCGTCATTAGGTTTGTTAGGGATCGAGAAAAACCTTTATATATACTTGTACAAGCATGGCAGCGAACACTGAAGGTAGCCGAGAAGATGAAATCTCCAAACTGGAAGAAGGTGTCCATGCAGATAATATATGTGCGTCCCAGTCTAACACTAGCATAGGATTTTGTTCATCACCTTCCGTTGTTGCTGTTGCTCAAAAGGTTAGTTTTTGACGATAGTTACTTGTAATAAATGATCTTTTAAGTGACATAAATAAAAATTGCACTATGAGTATATTAAATTAAAGGTAAGCTTATTAATATGTTCTGTTCCTTTTTCTAGTTGATTGCAGAGGCAATTGGCACGTACTTTATTATATTTGCAGGATGTGGATCAGTAGCAGTGAATAAGCTATACGATGGGAGTATTACTTTTCCAGGAATATGCGTGACATGGGGTTTAATTGTGATGGTTATGATTTACTCTTTGGGACACGTATCAGGAGGTCATTTTAATCCTGCTGTTACGATCGCTTTCACTATCTTCCGTCGTTTCTCATGGAAACTGGTACGTATCAGTAGTACGTAGTTTTTAACGTCGTTTCTCATGGAAATGGTACTTTTTTTTCCCATTCACACAATTATCTTGGGAGGAAACATCTGATCTACAACGTTAGTATTAAGATTCACAACCTAAGGTACTCATGCATATGTAGAACATAACCTACGTTCAAGTGTTTAAATGAAAGTTTGTGTCAAACAAAATTTAGGAAATCCTTATTTTTATCGCATAATATATCGAGATCTCCTTGAACTTGATATTTTTTTATTCGACGCAGACCTGAACTATTTTCGGTTCAAATTAACCTCTTGAACTTTTCAATTTGATAGTCTTGATCGAGTAAACATGTGTAAGTAATATGATCATATACATGCAATGCACAGGCACCTTTGTACATAATAGCTCAGGTAACGGGCTCAATTCTAGCAAGCGGCACATTAGCACTATTGTTGGACGTCACTTCCACATCTTATTTTGGTACTGTTCCAGTAGGATCTAATAGCCAATCTTTGGCTATGGAAATCATCATTTCCTTCCTCCTAATGTTCGTTGTTTGCGGAGTTTCTACAGATGATAGAGCGGTATGTTATTTCTTATGGGAAAATTTTCATAAAGCATTATCTTTTAGTAGTAATTAGTCATCTATAGATATCATTTGCTATATTACGGATTATAGATACATTTTTTGTGGTTATAAGATGTATTTGATGTATTTAAGCTATTGTATTCATGAATACAGTAGCAAAAATAGGCATGAATCAAGGAAGTCCAGCTAATTACTTGTTGTATTCGAGTGTATTCGACTGTATTCATGGAGTGAAACATGGGATTACAGTTGTACAGATTATTGTATTCGACTGTATTCATGGAGTGAAACATGGGATTACAGTTGTACAGATTATTGTATTCGACTGTATTCACAGCGTGAAATATGAGATTGCACTGTTTTTAAAATGGAAAGTGAATCAATTAACATAATAGACTACTAATATAACTCAACAAACTCAATTATAACACACAAATTTTGTATTGTCAGTTATAAAAAAGATTCTCAACCGAAAAATACCCCAAAAACATAGCAATCTTCAGAGAAATTATATAATACATCTGAATACATAAATTATATTAATTAAAAAAACATATGAATATATTCATGACATATAGCGAGAGAGTGAATACAATGAAATACATAGAATACAGCAGGATACATTGAAATACAATGAAAAAAAAGACAATGAATACAAGGAAATACATGAAAATACATTGAAATATATTAATAGAAAATCAAGTTGCTCAGCCCCAAACTCCGTCGTCATTGTTCAAGAACAAACCCTAATTTCCGACGAATTTGTCGGAGGTACGCCAGAGGTAAAAACTCCGGCGCGGGAAGAGAGCTATCCCGCGAGAAGGCATAGCCGAGAGGAGGGGAAACAATAACAGCGTATACACAACAACTTAGGGCCGACATCTCTTCTTCTTCTTCTTCCGTTCTTCCAAAATCAAATACAAACACAAATTATCTTCCAAAACACAAATTAAGCCAAACCTGGAATATTTTCTAATCCGAATGCCATAGAGTTACTTTAATGGAAGAAATTGCTAGATGAATTGTACTAACATTATCACTAAAAACAGCTAATTTGGGTAGTTCATTAGCAAAGGTTACCGCATCAATTCGGTGCAAGAATTGATCGGAATGAAAAGAAAATAGTGTGGGTGAGAGAAATTTTGACATTGAGAATCGTGTTTTTAGGGAATGGGGGAAGAGAATGGAATGTATTAAAGTAGAGAGAGAAAGAAAATAGTGTAACTGAATAACGTATTTAGTGGCTTAGGGCTAGCTAGGAGGTAACCAAAATTAAATATTTTGCTATAAACCTTAAAAGGTATCTATAGAATATAATTTTTTTAAATAATATTTATTTAAAATAAATAAGGGCGTTAACTTTTCTATATGAGGTAAAAATTCCTTTCTTGTATTTTACATTGAGCAGATAACTTCATTAGAAATTTAGCACCATTCTCAAGGGCATTTGTTAATTCATTTGTTTTGCATGTGAAAAACAGATAGGAGAACTGGCTGGATTGGCTGTTGGAATGACAATAACCTTGAATGTCTTTGTTGCCGGGTATGCTTAAAGTTAACTACTCATCTTATTACTTTGAATAGCACAAAAAGTTTTCTAAATATTTAACTATAAAAATTTGTTCTTTCTACTACTTTAAAAAAAAAAAAAATCTACATATATTTTAATTTTAATTTAAGAAAATTAAGGAATTGGCTTTCAGATTCATACCAAAAATTATTTTTAAATTACCCAGGTTTTTGAATCCGTCAATCTCCCCCTCTTATATTTTATTTTTAAAGGAAATGGAGAATAGTAATTCTTACTTTTCAAATGAAGTGGATGCAGGCCAATTTCAGGAGCATCGATGAACCCAGCAAGGAGCATTGGTCCAGCGATTGTGAAGCAAGTCTATAAAGGTCTTTGGGTGTATATAATTGGGCCAGTCATCGGAACTCTAGCGGGAGCGTTTGTATACAACTTAATTAGATTTACGAATAAACCACTTCTTCAACTAGTTAAAAGTAGATCCTTTCTTCCAAAGTTAAGAGAGTAAAATAATTCATGAATTTTTAGGTTATAGATCTAGTGATATCTGTCATTTTTTGAAATCTCTTTTTATGATTCATCAAAATAATACTAATGTAAACTTCAGCAATGTACTGCTTTTACAGTAAAAAAATTTATTGTTCTTGTCTAGCCCTGTATTCTTTCCTCTTACCAATAGATAACAGAATGGCCATATAACATATAGTAGTTTCTTGTTCCATTCGCCTTATGCGGTGATATCTTTGCATGTGAAAAAAATTATATGCTATAAGGTCAGAACGGTTAGAGAACCTAAACTCTAATTGACCTGATTGTTTAAAAAAATTATACTCATGAGTTGTATAAAAGTTAAACACATAAATAAGTAACAGTAAATAGGATTTTTAACTTGTACTAACAAATTAAAAAGTCTTTATACTGAAAGAGTATTTTAATTTGTTGTAGTAGATAATATATCTTATTTTTAAGTAACCGTAATTATCTTTTAGTAAACTTTTTATTAATAATATATACTATTTTTTAAATATGTCTGACATATAGAAGTTAATTAAACTCTCACAAACAAAGTAGCCAATAGAGAGAAGAAACAAAAGTTAATCTTGTGGATAATCTGACAAGAGAAAAATTGTTACAGAACATAATAAATCCGATCCAGCACTGAAGAAAAAGTAAAAATAAAGGACTTAAATCAAGCCTACCCTGAACGTTACTGATAGGGACACGTTAAAAACACTAAAATCAATGCTACAACTTTCCTAGCTAGCCAGTTACATAATCTAAGACCAACAACTCTAGAATCCCACAACCAATCATAAGAAGCAGGGAATTAAGACAAAGGGGATTTCTAGTTAATGCACCGGAGTATATTCGTAAATTAAATGGATCAGTTGAGTACAAATTTCCTGGTGGGGCTGTGAAATAGATGAACCTTGGCGGCGGCGGCGGTGACGACGGCTTACTCTGTTGAATTGCTGGTGGTGCTGTGAAATAGATGAACCTTGGCGACGGTGGATTCTGTTGAATAACTGGTGGACAATATGTATTACTGGCCTTGGGAGGTGGTGGTGGAGGAGAAGAAATGGGAGGAGTTAATTGTTGATTACATGGTTTCCCGCACGGGCATTCTCCACACTTTATACTTGGATCAGGCATCAGAGGACCATCAACATTACTGTCATGATCAGAGGTAATAGCAGTGGCTTTGGCAGAAATTATAAGTACCGTGAGAACCAGACAAGACATGATCATGATCAGAAGAAACTTCTTACTACGTTTATGCATTGGCATGCAATTGTATATAGAAGCTAAGGTTTCTCTATTTGATCGGTAATTCTATTTCTCAAGGCTTATAGATATTAAGAGATGGCTACAATAAGGGAATGAGTAATATGAGTTTGTATATGAAGTGAACTTTTGGTGGCCTATATATGTGGCTTATTATTTAAAGTAGAGTGAGATGCATTTTGCATGGGCTAGCAATCATGGATAGAAAGGCTAAAGTAAAGTCTTAACTTATAGTATATGGTAACATCAAGAATTCTTACATACTTCAGAGTATTTTAATCAATTAAAACAAGTTACTAATCACTACTAAATTTTTTAGGTTATTGAAATAGAAATTAATTATAGATAGTTTCATGTCGTCGTACGTCATCTTAGCTGATAGTATAAAAAAAATGTACACAGCCCGTGCGTAGAAGTTAAATAAATAAATTTTGGATAGAAAATAAGGGTATGACTGGGTGGAGACTTGGTATTACTATCATTATGAGCCTCCTTTTATGACTATTAAGGAAAGATATGAAAATGAATTGCATATGGGTGATGTTATTAATTAATTACTACTGGGTTGTAGGACATGTTGTAACATTATTCTTCTCTCTTTTTGGATGCATGTATGAAACAATGGATGGAATATTGCTATATACATGGTGTAACGAAGTCCATCGGTTGAAATGTACTTAAAGAATATATGCTCCATGATATAAGCCATCAATCGGTAAGAGAATCACTTGCTAATTAAGCAAAGAGAGGGCTTAGGTAATCGAATCTTAAGTAATAAAGAGTTTCGGATGGCCCAGCGAGTTTTGCAATTTTTTGTGCGCGGAATTTTTAAAGTCCAAAGTCGTTTGTCCTTTTGTTGTATACATCATCCTGTATATATATCATTTAACTTGAATGTATATGCTACGCACACATATTAGGTGGTAGTATTAGGTGAGAAGCAGATACAACAGAAAAACTCTCTAGTGACAATGATCGAGAAAAGTGTGACGGTCTCGTATTGATCTCTTCTTTATCTTTTTCTCTATCTTTAGAGTAATTCTAATTTGTTCAATTTGGAAGGGTACTTCTCCTCAAATAGGGTGCCTATGCGAGGAAATCTAAAAAGGTCAATTGTTTGGTTACTTAGGCTTTTAACTTGTTGGTAAGGGTTTAATTCCCAAACTTATAATCCCCTCTCCCATTTTCTCCTCCTCTGCCCCATTAAAAAATAATAATTTAAAAAGATAAAGAAGCACTTGTGCGTGCACCACAGACATACACATCATGTGCGTGAGTGAGTGTATCTATCTCTAGCAAAATAAATAACACCTTTCTGTTCATGTAAGGCATATATAGTTATAACATGGCCTTAGGCCTCGTAGTCTTCTAGTTTTGACTTTACAGATTAAAATGGCTGGATACGTTCCAAAAAGTAGGCTATACATGCATGCAATTTTGTTAGCCAAAAACTTGTTGATCACACAAAAGGAAGAATCAAATGCTCACAGCCAAAAAGATGAAGAAAGAGAACCCTTTTCTTTGTCCAATATCGGATGTCAGGAACCTTTCTTTTAGTGAATTTCTTGTTTCTTTTTCGGTGCTCATTTCCTGGCCGGTTCGTTATATTTGGGGTTTTCAAAAGCCCAACAATAATTAGATTATAATGCAAAGTTAGGGGATAATGAAAAAAATAAGATATTGATTTATTGATCTCGATAACAGAAGTATTGGGAAAATAGCGCGTCAGATTTAAAGGCATGCTTGCTAGAAATTTTGATTGTTAGGATTTGTGATAAAATCTCTAAGCTTACCTGAATTTTCAAACACAACTTAAAAAATTTGGTGATTGTCATGATTATGTCACAAATCATGCCCGATCACTAGAATTTTTCAGCATTGTGGCTGAATTTCTAGTGCTTCAAAATTTGGCGATTGCAAAAATCGCTTTCCAAAATTCTGACGAGCGTGCTTAAAATTCTAGCCAGAACTTATTTTCTCAAAACTTTTCTTAACGGGATCAAATTTAAACAGAGGTCCTAGTTTTTAGAAGTAAAGGCCTAATTGTGAAACATACTAAACATGGAGTACTGGCTGCTCTGTATGGATTTTTATTCTATTTTCACTATATATGCTAGCACTTGATATGTTATATATACCGAATTAAAAAATTTAAAATAATCTCTATTTGTACTACACATATTAAGAAATCAATTTCTTCTTCTAAGGAAAGTTAAATATTTGATGCTCTGACCTAGTTCATATTTAATTTGCTGGTACTCAACAAGCTAAGTCACTGGAATTAGCGATAAGTTACAAGGACTGAAGGCAAATGCAGTAGGAATAAGGCGTAGATGTTCTTGAGACTAGAAGGAGAAGAGAAGGAAGCTTGTGTCAGAAAATTAAAGAGTAAGATGCTTGTGTGGCTGCTGCCATATTCGCATATCCTTTTCTTAGTCTGGAGTAAATTTACCTTGTCAAGAAGTTTAGGCCAAGAGCAAGATTTAATTTGTTTTTCCTTGCCATATTCAAGTTTTCAATTTGTTTTATTTGAAGAGGAATAAGTTTGTCATTATTAAAAAGCGAAGAATTTATTGTCTCATATAGTTAGTTTGAGAACCTATATAGATTACTAAAGAGTTTGGTTCTTTACCATGTTCCTTAAGCGTAAAATAAATAAGCAATAAAATGAAAACAATAAATTTTACGTCGAAAATCACCTGGTTCAAAAGGTGCAAAAATCACGACTTACTACGTAGGATTTTCAACTCAAACTCTACTAGAACAACGAGCCAAAATGTATCAAATACAAGACTGTAATTAAATACCCTCCAGTACTCCTACGACTCCTATTTGATTCACAAGTTACTCTAACTTGTAAAGCAAAATACTCACTCCAACTGACTAATTGTTTATGATACTTGATTACAACTCAATTTCCCATAACAAATTCACTAGAGTGACTTAGGTAGAATACAAGGCAAGTATTCGACTAGAGTAAACAACTTATGACACTTTTGTTGATGTGTGAAATGATAGTTCAGAAGTCCAAAATCGATCATATTTGAAACGCTTCAACTTGAGATCTTCTAGAAGTCCTATTCATAGTCATCTTCTTCTTTGATAGCTCCTATTGTTCCAAGGATTCTATAAGCTTTGGGACTTTGTCTCTGATTGAATTATCCGTATCTTCTTGAGCAACGACTCTTATCACTTATAGCAACCTTCTTCAACCAAGCTCGGAGTTGGGTTACTTTGAGATAAAGTTATTGTCTTGTACAGACATACAAATATCAACATGAGGAATTGATCTTTTCTCCTAAGGAGCTGGTTCTTCAGAACAACTTAACAGCTACGTTGAGGACCTATTTCTTTTAACACTTAGTCATACTTTGTTAATAATCAAAACTTCAATACTTAACAAATTTCTCCTTTTTGATGATGACTAACCTTGTACACAACAGAACCAAGTAATTACATCAAAGAACGAGATAATCACAACAAATGACAAGTACTATTGATAGACATGTACCTTCACAACCCACAACCTTCCAACCTTATCTTTATCCTTTTGGTGTCATCGAAACTACAAATAAAATGTTAGACATTAATCACAGATAATATAAGATTCAAGGCCAAACAGGATACAACATAAGCAGAAGAGATATCAAGGAAAATAAACTAAATTGATGATCCAATATAGTACAAAACAGTAAAATAGAGCAATATGAAACATTAGGTAGTCCCAAAAGAAGACTAAGGTCTAGACTTCATCATTAGAACAAAATAAACAATGCATATTGCAAACTACTCATACTAAGATAAAAGAAAGAAAAAAGACAAGGCATCAGTAGAAGAGCAAGAAGAACTAAGGACACTGGGAAAGAACACGTTGATGGGTGAGAAGCAGAGGGGGTCAAGG